GAAGGAAAGGAAAGGAAAGGAAAGGAAAGGAAAGGAAAGGAAAGGAAGGAAGGAAGGAAGGAAGAAGGAAAGGAGGAAGGAAGGAAGGAAGGAAGGAAAAAATAGCAGAATAACAGGTCTTCTAGTCCAACTCTGCTAAGTATATAGTATCAACCTTGTTAACTCTGAAGACTGTTTTTTTTCTGTTTTTTATTCTAAATGGTCTCTGATTAATATACATATATCTATATGTATGTGTATGCACGTATCTGTATGTATGTATAGGTAGGTAAGTAGGTAGATAGGTAGGTAAGTGGGTGGGTTGGGCAGGTAGACAGGTAGGTAGACAGGTAGATCGATAGATCAAGGGTCCCCAAACTTGGCAAACTTGAAGACTTCTGGGAGTTGAAGTCCACAAGCCTTAAAGTTGCCAAGTTTGGAGACCTCTGGATTAGATAGAGATAGAGATAGAGATAGAGATAGAGATAATCTATGTATAGGGGGGCACCCACAGATTTTCAGGGACGGGGCGTGAGACACAACGGGCTGGCTCGGGGGACCCACCTGGGTGCCGGTGACGAGTCGGGTGGCCGGGGCATGGATTCGAATCATCCGCAGCTGAACCACTTCCAGCTCAACTTGATCCTGTGGGGGGTTGGGGGGGAATGAACTAAGCATAAACTTGTTTGGGACTCAACTATACTTCACAGCCATTGAAATAAAAACAAAAATCACAACCGCGTGTGATCGTTTACTGTCTCAGGAGGCCTGGAAGGGGTAGAATAAGGGGGGGGGGGGTCCCAGGTGAGGGGAGCCTTTGCCAGCCCGCCCTGGAGACGCGTACCTGGGAGAAGACGATGACTTTTCCCGTGTCTTCGTTGACGGCCCGGATGGTGCCCAGGATCACGGCTGTGCCCACGGCCTTGGCGCTGACCTGCCCCAGCCCGTTCACCTCGGCCACGCTTCGGTTGCTGATGGAAAAGTGGATCAGCGACTGAGGCTGGGGTCCCCCTTCCGACATCACCTGCGGCCGGAGGCAAAGCATTCTGGGGGTCAGGAAGACCGTTGCGTGGAGGGGGGGGAGGGTTTTCTGCTTTAGATACCCCCCAAAAGTCGGCCCCTATTCTCCGCTCGGGTGAGCTGCCTTCATCTGGGGGGGGGGGGGTGTGACAACACGACCCATAAAGCGGCATTGTCTGGTTGGGGATCCTGGTCTCACCTGCAACATGTTGTGGGGGATGAGGGTCATTTTTTCGGGGAACAGCCTGAAAGGGGGGAACACCTGACAAAACACACAACAGGGTCACGTTAGTCCTGTGAGAAAGAAAGAAAGAAATCTATACATATATATATAAAAGCGAAATTAGCCCTCAAGCATCGTCGCAAAATCTCCAGAACCGTCAAGTCTACAAACTTGAAATTTGGCACGTAGGTTCCTCTTGGCTTTTAGGGGCTCACTAAGAAAGGATTTTTCCAAATGACCCTCAGACCCTTAGAATATTTCCTATATTATTATTATTATTATTATTATTATTATTATTATTATTATTATTATTATTATTATTATTATTATTATTATTAACACGCTCTGATGCTAAGGAGTTCTACTCTCCCTCCCCACCTGGAAAGAAATCTCTTCCAAAGGCAAAACACAAGCAGAGGAGTTTCAGTTTCACAGCAGC